TCCTATGAGGAAAGGTTGAGGGAGCTGGGCCTGTTCAGCCTGGAGAAGGGATGACTGAAAGGGGATTTAATCAGTGTATACAAACACCTTAAGGGAGGGTGTTAAGAAGATCCATCAGACTCTTTTCAGTGGTGTCCTGCAGCGGGACAAGAGGCAATGGTCACAAACTGAAATACAGAAGGTCTATGTGAATATGGTGGAAAATATTTTGACTATGATGGTGAGAGAGTACTGGGCCAGGGTGCCCAGAGTGGTTGTGGAGTCTCTCTGGATATATTCAAAACCTGACTGGATGAGATCCTGTGCAATGTGCTCTAGGTGACCTGCTTGAGCAGTAGGGTGGGACTGAATGATCTCCAGAGGCCCCTTCCAACCTTAATCACTCTAATTCTGCCTCATTCTCTTTAAACATGGAGTTATTTGTGGATGTGGACTGATTGACAATAGACAGTAAAACCTCAACCATGACAAGACCATGAGAACACCAAAGCATAGTGTTAACGTTGCTGCTAATCATTGCAAGGAAAAGCAAGGGATTAGCACACCAAAAAGCAGTGCTCTCAAGTTAAGTATTGGTCAAAAGAAGCAAATTGAGTACATTTGAGTATATACTGAGTTCTATGTATATTAAGTTCTATGTCGATAATTTTTAGGAAAAATATATAAAAATTTGCATGAAAAATGCCTTTTTGGGATGCAAAATCTCCTGGGGGGGTGGGGAACTATCTGTTAATACTCATCCTTGGTGAACTAGCTATACACAGGATTGATTCTGTAAATAACGTAGACGTCGAGCATTTCTTTTCTTTCTCTTTGCTTAATCAGAACATTATTGTGTTGGTTTTTCCTCTACAACTGAAGTTATTCATTGCAAAATATTGTCATGGGTGCATGACATGGGTGCACTAAAGATCCTCAATTTAACTTCTTCAATTGCAAACCTAATCTGGAGCCTGAGGTCAGCCAAAATGATGTGTGCTAAATTCCGGTAAAGTGCTTAATTAATATAGGTGAGTGCAAACTACAAATTGCTGGTGTTAGACATGTGCTCAGCCTCCTTAGCACAAACATCAGGATTTATGTAGAGACAACTGACATACTGAAATGCAGATATAGCTAATATTCATTTGCATAGTTCCTTAACAAAGAGTAAGCATATGATTTATTAGTCCTTTCTGCTAGTCTTTATTTTTAGCATTATAATCATTTAAATACATATATTATCATTATACTTGTAGTTGCAGTTGAATGCTTTTTTTTCCCAGTGTATGCCAGAATTTTATCAGATAAAACTAAAAGTTCTGGACATTTACTTTCTGTTTCTGCTCTGACTGACAAAATTCCCATTGGATTAAATGTTGTGAGATGACTTTGAGCATTTGGATGCACATAAAAAAGGATGGGATTACAGCATTCCAGGCCTTTCTCTGGACAGTCTTCCTTGCCAAGAATGGAGAGCTAAATTTTTTTATGGACTGACACACTTCCGTGTTGTTTCACTTCTCGTTGAAATAAGTCCTCCCGAGAACACTCTGCAATGTGAGAGACAAGTGTTTCATTCACCTAATCCACCCACTTTGATTCCTCCTTGCCCGTGGAGAGGAATGAACCCGTCGCTCTCTCCAGCATCTCAGGTCACGTTTCCTTTAATTGCATTGGAGAGCTGTCTAGCATCATTCTGTACTGTGGATAATTAATTGAAAAGCCCCATCCTGTTCCTGCTTCAAAATGCAGAAAATTTGGCTTAGTATCTCTAATGGGATTGCATGTCATGGGTGGAATTTGCTTAATCACTGCCTATTGACTTTCTGCCTAAACTAGATGACATTTATCCGTATTGATTACACAGTTATAAAACTCCTGTGAAAACCAGCTAGTTAAATGTTTTAAATATCACTGCTGTTATGAGTAAATGTCCTGTTGTTTTTGTTTGGTAAATTAGTTTTTTCAATTTTAACATACGCTGAAGGTTGAAATTATTAATAAGTGGTGTTTCCTTTTTATTAAGCACTCTGCCACTTACAGTTAATACTGGAAAATGTTCACTGTTTACATCTGTATAACCCTTGATACATTTATGTGTATTTGCCTATGTGCACATGGAGGTGGAACTCTGTGTAGATATGAACAGAAGGTGTAAAATGGTCAAAAGTGTAAGAAATGAGCAAGGCTCATTCTAGTGTGGGCTAGTCTTGCCTGGCTCAACCTGTTTTAAAGCCAATCTCTCACGCAATATTGGCACTGCTGATGGAGTTACTGTAGAGACTAGGTTTGTGGAAGGAGGACATACCTTGCCTTAGTCCAACTCATCTTTTAAAGACGACATGCTGCCCAGTCATTGCAGCATCACTTCACAACAGCTTTCCCTCCAGTACCGATGACTTGGAGAAACCCAAGCCACTTTTCACAACTCACTTGGGCAAGAGCTTTAAACCCCTGTACCACCAAGCTTTGTGTAGCAAATAAAAATATAGCATTGATTGGAAAATTCCATTCCTCCATTGATTTTTTTTTCCACCACAAAATCTATAATTACTCTTGCTCTATTAAACTTGTCCCTGGAATATGCTAACATCTACTTTTCAGCATTGTGGTAAGTGTGCAAAATGCCAGTTTCTAAATGCAACATGTATATATATATGCATACATATAAAAACAAAATCAAAAGTGACTACAAAACTGACCAACAAAGTATGGTGCTACCAGGGCCCCAGTAATCGCCATCCTAAACACACCGAGACAGTGGCCATAGGCAGCCCCATCCCTAGGCACTACAGCCCTTGCTCTAAGGACAATGCTGGAGATGACTTTTCCCTGACTAGGATGCTCCCCTGGAGAAACCAATTGCATTTCTGGAAAAGCCATGTCCATGCTATGAAATAACTTAGCTCAGATGTTCCCTCCTCAGAGAACACGGTTCCCGATGGCCGCTCCAGGCACAGAATCGTTACAGAAAATTAAAACTTTATGAAAGTTCAGCCGACACCTTCTTACCCTGGAAGAAGATCCTACCTTCAACAGATTTTCCCATATCAACTATCAAGCAGCCCCCAAATCCTGCCATGTTCATCAGAGATGAACAGTCAAGATGAGAAGAAAATACCCAGGGAACGACCAGATGCCAACTGGACCCTGAACAGCCCTTGGCTGGCTACAAATACTGATGTTTTCTCTGCATCTCCCATTGCTTGCTACAAGAAACAGTTCCCACCAAAATTCCCAGACCGCACACTTGGGCATTTCCCCAAATCTAAGATATTTTTCCCAGCCCACCTTCTCCTGTCCGAGAGGAGGGCATGAACCCAAGTCAGGTGCAAACATCAAGCAATGCAACCCCAGTTATTTCCAAAGGAACCTTCCTCTTCTGACCTCCCAGTCTTGATCCTTGAGGGGGAATCAAAAAGACTTTTAACAAGTCTCCTGAGTGAGAATGCATAACTCCACTGAATAATAAAAACACAGGCTATGTGGGCTTTATAGCATGTTAACTTCCTCCACTGCGTAACCCTTCCCTTAGCCACGGGCAAGGCTTGCCTGCTTCCTCTTCCCTTTGTGCCTTCTTCTTCTTCTTTCCTTGCTCTGTGGCACTGAGACCTGATTAGATTTGCTCTTGGATAGCCTGACTGTGAGCGCTAGGCTCATAGCTGGCAAAGAAAAAAAAATGGTTATTTATTTGTTTATTTATTTATTTATTTATATTTCCTCCAAAGTTAAAAAAAAAAAGAAGGAAAAAAAGGAAAGAGAAAGGGAAAGAGAAAGGGAAAGAGAAAAAAGGGAACGGGAAAGGGAAAGGAAATGGGAAAGAGAGGGAGGGAAGGGAAAGGGAAATGGAAAGAAGGGAAAGGGAAATGGAAGGAAAGGGAAAAGGAAAGGGAAAGGGAAAGGGAAAGGGAAAGGGAAAGGGAAAGGGAAAGGGAAAGGGAAAGGGAAAGGGAAAGAAGGAATTGGGAAAGGGAAAGGAAATGGGAAAGAGAGGGAGGGAAGGGAAAGGGAAATGGAAGGAAAGGGAAAGGGAAAGGGAAAGGGAAAGGGAAAGGGAAAGGGAAAGGGAAAGGGAAAGGGAAAGGGAAAGGGAAAGGGAAAGGGAAAGAAGGAATTGGAATGGGAATGGGAAAGAGAAAGGGGAAAAAGAAAGGGAGGGATGTGAAGGGAAAGGGAAATGGAAAGAAAGGAAAGGAAATGGAAGGAAAGGGAAAGGGAAAGAAGGGAAAGGAAAATGAAAGGAAAGGGAAAAGGAAAGGGGAAGGGAAGGGAAGGGAAGGGAAGGGAAGGGAAGGGAAGG